AAAAAAAAAAAAAAAAAAAAAAAAAAAAAAAAAAAAAAAAAAAAAAAAAGCCTAACTAAAGTAGAGGCTCCAATCAAGTAAAAGAAGACCTATCGATAATCTCGCAGAGTTACGTTCCTCACATTAGGATTTAGTAGTAGCGGGTCCTGTTGTCACAAGCGAATCTTAAACAACTTCGTCTCTTGTCTACGAAGCATCCTTACAAACTTACTCAAGAGTGAATGTGTTGAGAATTGTTGGTGGGGAGTCCCACATCGACTAATTAAGGGGATGATCACGAGTTTATAAGAAAGAAATACATCTCCATTGATATGAGGTCTTTTGGGGAAAACAACAACAAAGTCACGAGAGCTTATGCTCAAAGTGGACAATATTATATCATTGTTTAGAGTCATGTCCTTAACTTAGTCATCTCTATAAAATCCTCAAATGCCAAACAAAGAAGTTGCGAGCTTCAAAAGTGAAGTAAAAAAATGACTCAAGTGTCGGACAAATGGTGTACTTTGTTCAAGGGCTCCAGAGAAAAGAGTCGAGTCTCAATTAAGGGGAGGTTATTTGAGGGCTCCATAGGTCTTAGGAGAGACTCTATAATGTACTTTGTTCGGGGGCTCTAGAGAAAGGAGTCGAGAGTCTATGGTGTACTTAGTTCAGGGAGGATTGTTGAAGATGGTTGGTAGAGAGTCTCACATTTGGCTAATTAAGGGGATAATCATGGGTTTATAAATAAAGAATACATCTTCATTGGAATGAGGCATTTTGGGATAACCTTAAACATACGAGAGCTTATGCTCAAAGTGGACAATATCATACCGTAATACCCTATAAGGACATATATAAGGAAAATGAACCTAATAGATATATAAGGAAAATGTTGTTGGGTGTCTTGATGTGTAGAGGTATTCTTATAATATACAATAAATCATGAGTTTAATACTCAAAGCTGAATTCTTTTGAAATTTTCCTAACATGAACTTTCAATTTGAACATTCTTCCTCTGTAACCAACCTTTTCCAGTTAAGAAAAGTGAGCAACCAAATCCAACATAGTACTTTGGAATTATTAGTTTTTGTGATGAACAGAGTAAAATGTATGATGTTTCGATAGAAAATTGTTGGACCTAGACACCAGAGAAAGCTTTAGTGTGGGAAATACTAAACTGACTCAAAAAGAAAACATCTAAACCCAACCAAACAAGCATCCAATATAAGTAAAAGAATCGGTATCCACAAAAATAGTATTGTCCAAACGAGTTAGCAACAAATCTTCATCCCATATTTTATTATAATTTATGTTTGTTCTTGTAAGGAAAGCCTCTTTCTTTTTCTTTCTTTCCTATTAAGGGTAAGATGTTTTGTGGGTAATTGTCTTTGTGTATTATGTAGGAAATGGCACTCCCACTCAACTTGCCATCGTCCGAAGGACCTCGCGGAGGGATGGAGAACCCGAATCCGTGCTCCTTCTTGGGAGCTGCCGGGGACTTTTAGCTGTAGAGTACTTTTTTAAGTTCCAATTATCTTTGGGTAAAAAAAATTAACTTTATTGAAGAACAAAAGGTTAATTGATTGTTAAATTATAGACTACTTTACTCCACTTATTCCTTTTTTTTCACGCTTCAAAGTGAATAGAATCTATTTTAACTGATATAAGCAATTGGATATAATCTTATCACAGATACTAGTGGAGAAACACCTTCCAACATCAAACACATATATCTTATTCTCACGCATCAATTTCTCAGAATGCCCATTAAAGTTCACGTCTAGTCTAATTTTCTAAAGTGGGAATAATTTGGCCAATATTATGCTTGTTTCCACACAATTTTTTTAAAAAAGGTTTCCTTCTTCTTAAGAACACATCTATTTTCAAAACCAAAATCAAGTTTTCAAAATTGATTTTTAAAAACATGTTCAAAAAGTAGGTTATAAAGCAAGAAAGCTATAAGTAAAAGTAAAAGTAGCGATTCTAAGCTTGATTTAAAAAGGAAAAACAGAAGATAGAAAACAAAATACTTATAAGATTCGGCTTCACATGTCCATTGCAAAGGTGTTTGTTTGTTGGGATTTCTTTGAGCTAAATTTTCGTTTTTAAAGCTTAAATGAAGATAGCCTTAGTTCCTCCATTAAAGTGCGTCTCCAAGACGTCCGTGTGTGCAAACATTCAGCCCCACATTACATGATGATGCCGACACTTAGCATAAAGCGACAAATGGTACACAGTTCACACTCGCTCTAACTAAAAATCACAGAAACTTGGAGAAACCGAGGGCAGCTACCGCACGCACTCTCCACATTTAGGACACTCTCTCTAAACGTCTTAATATCTAGTGGTAGAGTGACATAATTGATTATTTACCCCAAGATGTTACAAATGTTACCTACCTTAAGCATTGCCTCTAGGCCCAACCCTCACCCTCTACATTTCAATTGGTCAAGCAGCTTCGAGCTCAACCCTTGACTCTATTATCTGACCTTCCGCTCTTTGACTCTATTACCTGACCTTCCCCTCTTTTTCTTCTTCTTTAAGAAAAAGAGTAACTTTTAATGGAACTACCTTTGTTAATTAATTTGTTATTAATATTTTATAATTTTTAGTGTCTAGGCTGGCTTCCACCTACTTTAACTAATTTTAGAATGCAACAATCTACCTCTCCAATATTTGATTACCAAGAAAACTTTCCAATATTTGATTACCAAGAAAACTTATATAGGATTGGATGGTTGATAATGGTGAGTTATATTTGATTTTGAAATGTACAACTTCACATTCCTATCGGCATGGTATCCTGATGGTACGATTCCTCTGTCACCTCAAAATGAAAGGAGTGATCTCGTAGTTCTTGGTCTGTGACAATTCCTATAGCATGTTATCCTAATGGCACGATCCCCAGAATGAAAGGTGCGACCTCATAGTTCCTGGTCTTGACAATTCCTATAGCATAGTATCCTAATGATACGATCCCTCCAACATCCAGAATGAAAGGGGTGATCTTATAGTTCTTGGTCTGTGACAATTCCTATAGCACGGTATCCTAATGGTACGATCTCTCACCCAAGAATGAAAGGAGTGATCTCATAGTTCCTAGTTTGTGAAGATACAAGATGAGGATCGTGTATATGTACATATATATATATATATATAGCTCGAGATTCTAATGCTCAATCTCGAGGAAGTTTAACATCAATGACAAAATTCAGTGAACTAACAAGTAAAAAATGAAAAAATAAGTCGGAGATTCTGCAAACAAATATTATCAAAATATATAAATTCAGATCCAAAGAGGCTCAGCATGTATATCAATATAAAATAAATAAGAAAATAAATGCATGAAAAAGAAAATGACAATTCAAGAACTGATATTTAGAATTACTATGCTGCTAGACATTTAAAGAAGATAACTAACTATTAATTCAAGTTTTATTTAATCACGTAATAGATTATTAATTAAATTTAGTTTAATAAATAAGACTGTACTTATTTATTAAAAAAATTGAAAAACCTAAATAAATGATGAATATTTTTTTTTTTCTTTTTTTTTTTAAATATATATATATAAATAAAGTAAGAAAAATAATCAATCAAATTTAAAGAACGAACGATAATAATTTATCTTACATTTACAGGTCGATCGAAGAGGCCAGGTTCACAGCATTACCATTACGATCTCCTCCTCCTCCGCCGCCGCCCGTTTTTCACAGCCGCTTTTGGAGTTCGGAGCGGCATTTCCATTACGCTGAGCAAACCGATTGCTGTCCTTCCGCGGTCGCCCTCTCCGCCGCTTAATCGGACCATAACTGCTATCGATAATATCAACAGGAATACTCTGGAAAATGGCGTAGGAAGAATCAGGTACTGATTCGTCGTAAATGTGGTTAACAAGGACCAGGTCCTCATCTCCGTCGCCGTAGCTGTCGTTGACGGCACAATGAGAATCTCCAACGAAGAGTTGCTTCAAGCGAGTAACAATCTGAGCGCTGCCTACATCTAGGCGGTGGGAGGATTGGGACCGAAATGTGGAGGAGGACGAGGAGGAAGAAATTTGGGGCTTGCGAGGGGCTAAACGGAGGCGAGAATAGGTTTGTTTTCGGCTACCGGCGGACTCGTTGAAGACAGATCGATCAATTTTGGGGATTAGAACGTCGTCGTCGCTGTTGGATTGGGAGGTTGAAGAAGAAGATGAGGAGAAGAAACGAGAAAGACAATAGAGGTCGGATTGGGAGAGGCGACGGAGATCTATGATCGGCAGAGTGTTCATGCGAAGACTGTCGTTGGAAGGGGAAGCAACCATAGTTGTGGAAGCCATGGATATGACATGAGCTCCTGTAAATTGCGAAGAAAAAGTAGGGAGAGAGACAAGCGAAAGGAGAGTGGGGAACCGATTTCAAAATGGGCCTTGGCCCAACTTTTTCCTAGTGGGCCGACCCAATATCAATGATTATTATTATTATTAACATATTTAAAGTTTTTTTTTTTATTTATTTTAATTTTGAGATTTTTTCTTCCTATCTTCTCCTCAATTTAAACTAACCCTTATGATGGTTCGTGTAAGAACTCAAGTCCACCGCTAACAAATATTATCCACTTTGACCCATTATGTATCGCCATCAACCTCACGATTTTAAAACACTATACTGTAGGAATGTTTCCACATCTTTATAAAAAATGCTTCGTTCTGCTCTCCTGCCAACGGGGATCTCACAGTCCACCCTCATTGGGGGCCAGTGTCTTTGCTGGCACACTGACTCATGTCGGGTTCTGGTACAATTTGTAAGACTCCAAGTCAACCTCTAGCAAATATTGTCCATTTTGGTCAACATCAGCCTCACAATTTTAAAACACGTATGCTAGAGGGAGGTTTCCACCCCCTTATAAACAATGTTTCATTCCACTTCCCGACCAACATGGGATCTCACAATCCACCCCCATTGGGGGCCAGCGTCCTCGTTGGCACTCCCTCATGTCTGGCTTTTATACCATTTGTAAGATCCCAAGTCCACCTCTAACAAATATTGATATATTAAATATATACTCAATGTATTAAATTTTGTTTATTTACAAACGTCTTTTTATAACGTAAATTCATGATATGAATGCAAATATACGAGATTTATTATTTTATTGAACGAATCAAAATTTAGAGCATTATTAAATCGGGGCATAAAGGGACCACTTGACAGTTAGGCATTACTATGGATGCAGCAAGCAAGTAAATGCTTAGATGCCCTTTACCATATGTCACGAAATAGAAATAATTAAATAATTTAAACTTTATAATTTTTTTGAAATATAAAGTAAAAAATAATAATTCAAATATTTGGATTTTCATCATACGAACCCTTCACATGGATTGATGAGCGTGACTGAATTGAATTTGGGACTATATACATTGAACCCCATGAGGAGGAACATTTAAATTTAATGTATTGTTTTCAAATTTTATTATATAAATATTAAAAAAAATTAGTGTATTAAATTTAAACAAGACTCATTTATTTATTATTATTATTGCTAATATATATATATCGGATAAAGTGACCATATAAAACTAGTAGGTTAAGCGCAAATATATATATATATATATATATATATATATATATATTATTATTATTATTATTATTATTTTTTGGGTTTAGGGTGTATATATTATTCTATTTGACTTATTACGTATGTTTGTAATGCTGAAATAAATTTTTATATAATAAATGTTTTATTCCTGTTTTTAGATGGATGTGAGATTTTTTCGGCCCGGAAAAATATATATATATATATATGTATAAACGTTTAATAGTTACATTATTAGTATATATTATTCTGTTTGACTTATTACGCATTGTATTCATGCTCACAGTTTTAAAATAATTTTGATAGAAATAAAATTTTATATAATAAATGTTTTATTCTTATTTTCAGATCGATGTGAGATTTCATAATCTACCGATAAAAAATATATATATATTTATTTATTTATTTTGCTTTTAAAAAACATAACTTTAAAATTAATCATTCAAGGGAAAGCGGCCACAGGAGGAAAAGAAAAAAAAAACATTTTGTGTTGGGGTCCACCATTCGGGGATTCTTTCCTGTCGGCGGGCCGTAGTACCGACACGTCACTCGCATTTTTAAATTTATTATTTTCGTAAATACAGATTATTTATTAATTTGTTAATAATTATTCTTCTATTTTCTTTTTTTCTTATAAATTTAACCTTTAAAAAAATATATATCAATTTTATTTTTTCATATTTATATATTTTTTAACTTTTTTTTTTTTGTTCTTATCAAACTTTGATGGATTAACATTTTTTATAAGATTGTTTTTCTTACAAAATTATCAAATAATTTTTACAAAATTGATTTATTATTATTATTATTATTATTTTTTTTTACAACAGTTGATTTTTGTTTTTTTGTCATAAATTTGTTCATTAATTTCCAACTCATAAAATTAAGTAGAGGGATTTATGAACGCAATCATAAATTGAAGTGAAAATTTATAGAATTTCGGGAAATAATGTGGAGGCGGGTGAATTAAGAAGTTCTTCTCTCATTCATTACGTGATATATATATATATATATATATATTCAATTGCATGTGGATTCATCGTCCTAAGGATATATAAAATACAAATTTATGAGCAGAAGCTGGATCTGTGCAGAATCTCCTCGTTTTACTCTACTCTTCTACTCAATCGAACCCTTTCATACTCATTTCTGAATCAAGAACTTGAAGCTGTAATCAAATCAATCCGTTCATAGTCGCTCCCTAATTTCTGAGTTTTTTTGTTCTTTTCACTCTTCCAGGTATGTTGATTTCGTCTTGTTTTCCTCTTTTTTCCACTGTGTTTCGTATTTGATTCGATTATCATCGGATAGATTGTTTGCTTATTGAGAATTGCTCTTTCTTCCGCTGGCATGGATCTTTCTTTTCGATTTAGCTTCTCGCATTCGTAAACGTTATGGCGTATGAATTAATAGCATCGGAAACTTTTAGATATATTTCTTAGTTCTAAGCTGTTTATCTGAGGAATTTTTAGTGATTATGTTGTTTTTCATTTGGTTTCCGAAGTTTTCGGGTTGAGAATGTTGAAGCCCTTGCACCGAGGTGTTTCTGGGACAAGGATCTGTGAGGGTAGCCGTGACTTAAATGGAACTGAGAAGGGAGATTTTGATGCGAAGTGTTCTTCATATGAAAGTGATGAAATGTTTAGGTTCTTGTCTGATTCGTTCGTATTGGGAACTCTAAGAAATCAGCACAAGTTAGCTAAGCAAATGTTGAGCTTCAGCATACCGTTGATTGTTATTGTAATCTTCTTTGGATTGTTTTGGTGGTCTGTATCTATTTCGACGTCATCCAGACTTCACGCAGCTCGTAGTTACGATAAAATTCAAGAACAGGTTGTTTTATACCTTTCTGAGATTGGGGAGCTTGCTCTTGGTCCTTCAAGGTTAAGAGAATTGGAGTTTTGTTCCCAAGATTTTGAAAACCATGTTCCTTGTTTTAGTGCTCGAGAAAACCCTGACTCAGGATATGCCGATCGTTCTTGTGAGCTAGAACCAAAGCAAAATTGCATTGTACCACCTCCTGTGAAGTACAGGGTTCCTCTTAGATGGCCCATTGGAAGAGATGTTATCTGGTTTGCGAACGTAAAAATGACTGCTGACGAAGTCCTCTCTTCAGGAAGCATGACCAAGAGGTTGGTCTGTAGATTAGCTATTCTTGTCTCTTTAGTTGATGTGATGACTGTCTGAATATGAACAATAGTTTTGTGTTTACAGGATGATGATGATGGAGGAAGAGCAGATATCGTTCCGTTCTGATTCTTCGATGTTTGAAGGGATCGAAGATTACTCCCACCAAATTGCAGGGATGATTGGGCTGAGAAATGTATCTAATTTCATACAAGCTGGAGTAAGTAAATGTACATTAGAGCTAGCAAGCTTAGCTCAGATCATTAGTCCGTTCACCTGTCCAATATCATGGTCGACGTGCTGATCCTGAAAATTTTGCAGATAAGAACTATTCTTGATATTGGATGTGGCTATGGTAGCTTTGGAGCTCATCTCTTTTCGAAACAGCTTTTGACCATGTGCGTAGCAAATTATGAAACATCTGGCAGTCAAGTTCAACTAACGCTCGAGCGAGGTCTTCCTGCAATGCTAAGTACTTTTGCTTCAAAACAGTTGCCATATCCATCTTTCTCCTTTGATATGGTTCATTGTGCGCAATGTGGTATCGATTGGGACCTAAAAGGTATCAGTCAAAACTTAATACTTCTCATGATATTGTTTATGCAAAAACTGTGTGTTACGGGCATGGGACGCGTAATTCTTTAGTTTTAGAGCCTTGATTTTGACTAGAACACGATTCTCAATAGGGCTTCATTGAATATATCAATTGATCACTTGGTACAGATGGTATCTATTTAACTGAAGTCGACAGAGTCTTAAGGCCCGGCGGATATTTTGTTTGGACGTCACCAATTGCCGATGCTCAGAGCTTCCTTCACAACAAAACCAATCTGAAAAAGTGGAACGCTGTTCGTGATTTTACCGAGAGCCTCTGCTGGGAAATGCTGTCCCAACTAGACAAAACTGTGGTATGGAAAAAAACTAGCAAATCAAGCTGTTATCATTCGAGGTACCGCCGTTTATGGAAATTTCTATTGGTGGTCGTTAAATTTTTCTATAGACAAGTTATCCTGATCTTTTGCGATACGCTGCTTGCAATTTTAGGAAGCCTCGTTCGGGTCCTCCACTATGTAGTAAAGGCCATTATGTCGAATCTCCATATTATCGTCCTCTCGAAAACTGCATTGGTGGAACAAAAAGCTCTAGGTGGTTTCCTGTTGAACAGAGGACATGGCCTTCTAGAGCTAACTTAAACAAGAGTAAACTTGCTGTTTATGGTAATCATGGTGTACTAAGGATGAATTTCTTCATCACTGGACGTCTTTACTTGTTTACGAAGTTTAAGTTTTTTCTCAGGAGTACAACGGGAAGATTTTGCTGAAGATTCCATGAAATGGAAAATGGCCGTCAATGATTATTGGCCTCTTATGTCGCCACTGATATTCTCAGATCACCCGAAGAGACCCGGCGATGACGATCCTACGCCCCCATATAACATGCTGCGTAATGTGCTAGACATGAATGCTCAGTTTGGAGGATTTAATTCAGCCCTGTTGGAATCTGGCAAGGATGTATGGGTCATGAATGCAGTTCCAACAACTGGATCTAATCACCTTCCATTGATCGTCGACAGAGGCTTTCTTGGTGTATTACACGATTGGTACTACTATTACTTTGAATGTCGAGTACACCGTATAATTCGAATACAGTCTACCTGTTCCTTCCTGTTTATG